TGGGACTGTCGCTGAGTAACACAGACTTTCAACTCCCTCCAAAGATTTTCTATGGGGTTGAGATCTGGAGACTGGCTAGGCCACTCCAGGTCCTTGAAATGCTTCTTACGAAGCCACTCCTTTGTTGCCCGGGCGGTGTGTTTGGGATCATTGTCATGCTGAAAGACCCAGCTAGGTTTCATCTTCAATGCCCTTGCTGATGGAAGGAGGTTGTCACTCGAAATCTCATGATACATGGCCCCATTCATTCTTTCCTTTACACGGATCAGTCGTCCTGGTCCCTTTGCAGAAAAACAGCCCCAAAGCATGATGTTTCCACCCCATGTTTNTTCCCTTCCTTACAATTCTGGTAAAACAATGTATAAATACAATCCCCAAATCAAAATGGTACAATTAATTTTATTAAAAGACATTTGTATTAACACATGATTTTAAGCATTGATAAGTAATGTTATTTATTATATTTAACTTAAAAAAGTTATTTCATACAACTAAGACATCATTTATGTGAACTAATGATTTTGAGATAAGACTGCAAATGTAAACTAAGATAAGTCTACTTAAAGTTCTACGTGTAAAAACTTAACCTGTTAAGTTTGTTGCTTGTGTAAAAACTTAAGTGGTTTAAGGCAACGGATTTCCACGCGAATTTCTAGTAAAGTCAACTAAGCCGGGCTAAGAGTGTGTTTTTTCAGTATTTAACCTGAAGATGCATGATGGATGTTCAGTAATAGCGCACACACACACACACACACACACACACACACACACACACACACACACACACACACACACACACACACACACACACACACACACACCACAGACAATGCGCGCTCCGGTGCGCAGAACAGGGCTGTGGTGACCTGGCTGATCCTTCACGTGCAGCAGTGTTTAAACACAGTGTCTCTGCTTTACAACACAACAACGACCCGCACACACACATTCTTACACGGGGAAAGGCTACCATACATGCACTTGCTCATCCAAACGCACTCACACACCCATGATGGCACAGATTGGGGTTGCCGTTGCCGTTACAATTCCTTTTCTCATTTTGGAGACGCCGTGACCTCAGCTCACGGCGGTGAGTTTTGTAAAAAGATAAAGAATGAGCATCACATTTTGCTCATTTTGATCAAATGATCATGATAACTACTTAAGGTTTACCTTATCAAAAGTATTTTTCAGCTGCTCTTGCACAGTTTACTTTAGTTACAGAAGGCTGTGGGTTCTGCATTTGAGCCTCAGATGGAGAGGTTAGACTGAGCTCAAATCTGATCATTTTACAGTCTTTAAATGGAGGGCGAGCAAGCGCGTTTATTATAATTGAAAGATGTAAAACATATTCCAAATAAATCATCATCCATATTATATTTTGCTGACCTGCAACTTGCTCTTTATTTCAGACATTTCAAACTGACCATTACATGGTTTCTACATGTGGCACGCTTAGAATCCGGTGCGCACTTGGCACAGTTTACGCGCTCCTCTCCAGACTGGGGCCAAACACTCCGAAAATAAATTAAGCATCTTTGAACAGACTTTGTAAACTGGGCTACCTGTTGCAAAAGAATCAAACTGCGCAGGGATTTCACAGGTGAGAAAACAGGAGCGCACCTACCGACTACTGTCAGCAGCATGTTGTCCAGCAGCAGAGCGACGAACACGATGAAGAGGCTCAGTTTCCTCGATCTTCTCTCCTCTCTGAGCCAGCTGAGCAAATTAAACTGCCGAACGGCATCTAATCTCCCCATTGTGCTAGTCCCGAAAAGAGCAGGGCAACAGAACGGATGTCAAGTCTTCCTGGAGAGACAGTGATGGGTGGGTAACTTCAAAAATCCTTCCCGATGTCAAAGTGAGAGCTGTGGATGTGAGAGAGCTGCAGAGTGGAGTCTCACCTGAGATGAACAGCCAGCTGCAGGAGGAGAGAGAGAGGCTACTAAGTGCCCCCCCGCTGCTGACGTCACTCTTCCTTTGTATGCGGGTCCCCGTCAAACCTGCCTTCGAACACTCAAACCAGCAGCACGAGGACACAGGCTGATCAGCAGACCGGAAACACTGGGCTTCATGACCACCAGGGTCAGGAGGGTGGCTATGAAACTGCGATACGTTACAATGACTATTTACATGTAAAAATATGTAATAGCGTGGTAACAGTCCCACATTGTATTAGACAACAATGTAATAATGAATAAAAGACTCTGGTCAAAACTCAGGGATCGTCCCCCAAAGTTTAAAATAATGAAAGTCAAATTATGATTTACGATTAAAATATTTAAAAAACACCAAGGGGTGAGGGTATGCATATTAATATACGTTTGAAGAGTTTTCCCCAAGACTTGGCAATTGGCATTTGTGTCATGGATAGGTCCGAACAGGAAACTGAGTTTACGGGCTGAAAGTGTCCTAAAGGCATCATGTTGGCTCTAAATACATAAAGGATTATAATATGCTTACATGGAAAAAGAGTCAGTGCAGAACAACCAAAGAAAAGCTCACACACGACACACCAGCCACACTAGCACAGGGTCTTGCATCAGTACATGGATTACTTAAAAACAAATATAATTTCATTATTACCACTATTTAGTTAAATATATGAATACTGTAGATGTGAGTTTGAGGTTGAGAGAGAGAAAGAGAGATGTTGGGAATGAGTTTCATTCCAAAATGTGAAAGCTGCCTGTCCTCAGATCATCTTTACACAGCAGCTCCATCTGCTGCTCTGCTTACAACACTACCACACTCAATCCTATTATAAATGATCACATTAAGGACAAGGCGACAATAAAAAGGACAATCCCAATCAGAATCATAACTCCTTTATTAGTCCTACAGCGAAGACATTTACAGTGCTACAGCAGACTAGGCATAGGTAAAACGCTTGCAATAATAAAAGAGAAAAGCACAAATTAGTAATAAATAAAGATAAAGAGTACAACCATGGCAGCAATTTAAGAAAAACTAAGTGACATACATAAAATATTAAAGTATTGAGACCTTAAAAAGTGTATATTTTCACATACAAATGTGCAAATGTATTTAATAAAAACTCTTATAGTCTATTGGGTTAACCCAAGCACCTTTTCAGCAATGACTATTAATGTGCACAGTCTCTGTCAAATAAACGGCTAAATACAAACATAAATAAAAATTGGAGTGGCAGCATGTGAATGTTTCATATTATGCAGCTCTTTGACCATTATATAAAGCAGATCATCTCTCAATCCCCCTGTTTCCATAATCGATCTTTACTGATATTTGGACAAAATATTTGCAGACTTGTCACCAAATGTTCTTAATGGAGAGAAAGTCTGTTGTTGTACAGTATATTTATAGGAAACAAAAAGACACAACATGATTTCATCAAGCCTCTTTTTTTTTGCATGATCGGAATATCTTGACAATTGTGCAGTAAACAACATAACTTTCTGTCTAATTGTTATTAAGTGAAATATTAAAAAACCACATACTATTATCATAAGTCTGTTAACCTGGTTCATGCTGGGAGAATTTTTCTACGGGGATGTGACAGTTTCCTAACTTCCCTGTCTTGTGACTGTGACCCTCATTTTATTGTTCTCATGGACTACGAGTCATTTTACATCAGGGGCCGTATCCATGAAGCTTCAATTTCAAAGAGATGCTCCTAAGGACAAAATTATAAGAAAAATCTTAAAATTAATAGTGGAGGAGTACATTTCAAAAGACCAATAATTAGGAGCATGATTAGATGCTGCAGGAGAAGATGATGTAATTTGTGTGGTCCATCTCAACAGAGAAGCACTCACATCTCCAGCCAAACCAATAATGGCAGAATGAACATATTTGGTGAGTGTTTAAAAGTGTTCAAATGGTTTATAGATTTACAAGCCAAATAATGCTTCTGCTTATATAGACTGACCAGCAATCGCAGACTTAGATGATAGCTGAGTCATTTCCCCCCGGTATTACCAAATACGTTAATTTGAAAAATTAACAACATTTTAAAATAAAATCAACATGTTAAAAGGCTACTTCGTCCAACACCATGTCTAAAGCAACCCGGTATCACGGCAAGACGTGAACATGTGACGATTTACCATGCTGGGAGACATGAAGATATCACAATTTCGTCCCTTCAAACGTGACAGTTACACGGTATTGTTAACATGGCCCAACCAGTGGAGATATACCCGGAAATGCCAAGCAAATGCTACCCCGACGGTCGGTTGTTATTGTCAATATTAATATAATAATGATTTACTTTTTAATAGTCACACTCGATTACGCCGATTTTCTTGTTGCCCCAGCTGGTCGACACCTCTTTTAGCAGAAACAAAGGCTACAATAACGTATTTAATCGATGTTAATCCATGCGTGTGGATGTGGAATTAACGGACGATACGTTGTGCGATTGCGTTGCCAGGCAACAGCTTCGGTTCATGTTAATTTACAAACTCTTCAACTACAACCGTAGTTATATTTAAAAACATGTTAGAAGGCCTCACGAAATACTTTAATGTAAATTAAAATTTAAATGTGAAGGAATGTGTGTATAACAAAATACATCCGTCATAAACGAAACCGGAAACAGACGTACGCAAGATGGTTTAGCCGCAATGCATGCTGGGATTTGGTGTTTATGTGATGTGAAATCCGAATCTTTTTTTGAAAAATAATACTTTATTCCGAGTGTGCTTGCTTTTGTCTTTGAAAGTCATCACATAACGGCATTGTAATACACGATTCAGCTGCATTAAATATTACATATCTGCCGTAATTCTCTATTTATAGAGCCCTGCTGGGAAGACTTCTAGACAAACAGGAAGAACTGCCGTCAAAACTGAAAACGTGACGTGAACATAAATATATAAGCAATTAAACAACATCTTACATTTCTTTTCACACAATACG